CACACGTAACATCCCCTATAACATCCTCAGCTTCATTGTATCTTCGTTTGATTAAAAAACGAGCCCTCGATGTCACTTTTACTGCAATCAATGCTTCTGAGAGCGGTGCAATCATACAACCGTACAACAAGCCACCTCAGCAGGGAAAGGAAATAATCATAGCTGAACCAGCGAAACAAGCGAGATTTACGACGTTGTCTAGTACGCGGATTATGTAACAGTCGCGCCAAATACTAGGCGTAAAAGACAGCAGTGAGAACGCGCGAAGTGTTCCGGTCGAAGATAATGACTTACGGTAGCCGAATTACAGGAACCGTACACACTACCTAGCCGCAAAAAGCTAAAGGTTGCACAGGAAACGCCGCAAACGTCATGGAAGTTTTCCCGGCTGCCGTAACCTGCGCCCTCTCTTGGCGTCTGTTCAAACGAGATACCTCTCGGCGCATTCCTCTCGCCTCCATTTCCCTCCAAGCAGGCCCTTTGTCGGGCGGCAGGCAGACCAGTCGCGGCGGCGTGAACACCCGCGGATCAGCTTCAGACAGCGCGATGCAGCACGGATCAGAACTGTCCGAAATCGCGCTGCGTCCGGAACCTCACGTAGGCCGATCAGATCGTCGCGACGTTGACTCAACACAAAGTACGTTTAACTAGCATACTAGCCTGCTTCAGCGCCTATCCTTTATGTCGAATGGTCTTTCCGTATCACACTAGCGAACGTAGTGCCCTCGATCGTGAATATTTCCGTCTGGTGAAAACGCAGCGTGTGCTACCAGCGTTTCACCGTAAGCGAATGGGGTTTTTGTAAGATAATGTGGTGCGGCTTAAAGCGTGTTTCACATGCCTGAACGTACGCCGATTTCATAACAGCGCGATAAGTGCGTCAAGTTAGAGTCGAATAATACTCAACATGCAAAAGGCGTTGTGCGTGAGCAGTTTTAAGGTGTTACACGTGGAGTGAGATCGAGAAAGGACGTATCGGTTACTGACCTTGTAATGTGGTTGAGGAGGTTGCGACGGGGAGTGGGTGACGACGCCCATTCGTCAGCGTTTCACCATGACGACCGAAATGCCAAACGACACAATCGGAAAATGAGTATACAAAAAAACAAGAAGGGTGCACGAAGGCGCACGCTCCGCGAGCTGCTTCCACTACTCCTTTCACTACGTACGTGGCATTGGCTCAAAGAAAAATGGGAGAGGGAAGGCCGAGGAAAGGGCGGAACGGGTGAGCCACAGTGGTGTTCATCCGCGCAAAAAAGTAGTACCTCCGGACGACGCATTGTTGTATAGTTTTCGGTCACGTGGGGGCCTATTCGCTTTCTAGTGCCAATAAACACATCGATGTTTGTGTTCACGTCTAATTTGCATTGCTACTATTTTACTGGGCTCATTATTATATTAACATTGAAAATAGGCCACAACTCATTTCTCAATGAGACGGTAAGCATTAGGCTAACCCAGCGTGTTGAGAAAATAAAAACCTAATGCCTATTAGTTGAGTACGGTCACACGGCATTCGAAGCACTTGCAAGTTGCCACTTATACGAGCATTATGGCTGCACCACAGCTTACCCTCAGGTAGAGATGTGTTTCTGTGCCGATTCTCCAGAAAACTAACCCACACCACCCCCTATATATATACTTTTTTATCTGGCTGCTTCTCATACAGAAATTCGGCTACTTCAGTGTTTGCATCTGTTGCTGTGTCAAAGAACGTTTATGTCAAAAACCCGCTGGCCTTGACGCCAATGAATTGAAGCAACAGCTCAAGAAATCAGTGTCACTAAATGTACAGCATTGCTAAGACTTAGGAAAGGCACTAGCCTCGAAAATGAAATAGTGAGCATAGTAGGATGCGTCGCCACCTCTCAAATGGCACACTCTTCTCCAGCAATTACCAGTGATAGCAAAACGGCACATAAATCTAGGAATAAATCCCTACGCTTTTTGATCGATGATGCGAATTGCTGCACCGGTACCGTGCGCTTGCCGAGACGGTGGCGCCATCTCTTGCGCGAGGCAGGTACAACTGCCAGAAATTTTTCTCGCGATTTTAGGTAAATTAGTACAGTTATCTCTTGATTATTTCTGTAGTTTCTGTTATTTTCGACCTTGGTAATTTATGCCGCACTGCTTTTGAACACTTTTAGATTTGTTTCGGTCCTCTAACCATGCGAAAAGGGACAGTGATTAAATGACGAGGCCTCAGATGGTTACCACCCAAAAAAAAAAAAAGGTGGCTGAACGCGCAGCTTTCTGCAATCTGTATTATTGTCAGTCCAAAGCCAACGACCTACATTTCTTTCACGTTCATGATCTGTCCCTGTATACCGTACCGACCACAACTGTGACCCATGTGCACTGGAACGGATTTTGATTGATATGTGGCGTTTAACGTCCCAAAACCACCATATGATTATGAGAGACGCCGTATATAGTGAAGGACTCCAAAATTTTAGACCACCTGGGGTTCTTCAACGTGCACCCAAATCTCAGCACACGGGCCTAGAACATTTCCGCTTCCGTCGGAAATGCAGCCGGGATTCGTACCCGCGACCTGCAGGTCAGCAGCCGAGTACCTTAGCCACTAGACCACCGCGGCGGGCCACACTTGAACGGAGGTCTAGGCCACCGTTCTCGAGGCGCAACCCTTGTGCACAGCATTCAACTTTAGACAGCTGAGCATTGGACAGTGCTTTCGTTCGCAATGCTGAAGGTAGGTATCTCGTCGCACACAGAGCTGTCTCTGCACATGCCGCACACTCGAACCCCAGTGGGATCACCGATTACAAAACGGTAACCACGAGTCAAGTCCAACGCCTTGCCGCGCTGATCGCCCGAGTCCGGGGACACCCGATTGCCAGACGAGTCGGTGGCGATCGTCGCACGGCGTCCCGACCTCGTCGTTCAGAAACCCACGCCTAAATCGACTCGTGGATCTCGCGAGGAGCTCCCTCGGTTTCGTCGCTCGCTGGCGCCCCACTTGGTAGTCGGCACCGTCTCTTTCGGTGGTTCCGCGTCGACATAGGGTTTCATATTATTGAATGAAACTCTACGCGCGTCGAGTCGCTGGCGTTAGGCTGCGTTCTCCCGTTTGCGATCCTCGGCATTCCGTGTCTTTGAGGCGCATGCTGTGATCAGATTGCCACCCGATGCGCATGCCTTCTGCACGCCGATTCACACGATCGGCCTTATGGCTGCGATCGCGTGTATCGGCAGCCTCCTCTTCTGCTGTGCGCTGCACTAGTAGCTAAATTCAAACTAACTTGTGCGTAACTAGATTCTCATTATCACTAATTACTTACGAGCATGTAATCACGAAACAAATTACTAGTGCACTATATCATGTCAACTGCTAAGTATTGCTTTTCCTTTAAAGTTGTGCGTCTGTCACAAGCTACTGTTTCATTGTATCACCATCGTCATCACGAGCCTATAATATGTCCAGTACAGCTCAAAGGCTCCCCGTGCCCAGTGGATACCATTTTACACCGGCGTGCGCTAATGTTAAAATAAAGGATACCTTCAAATTTACTCGGACAATGACTTCCAGTAACCAGCTCGCAAAAGACGGAGACAAGAAAGATTATATAGGCGACAAGAATTACTTCGCTCAAATGTGTCCTTCGAAGCAATACCGATGCGCCTTTATTCGCCAACACAACTTAGCCGCTGGAAACGAACTCGAACATCTTACTCCTCAAATTCATCCATCCATTTATAAGTATTTGCTCGAAAAACATTACCTCCGGTTGTGACCTACACTGCATTCAAGACTGAACCGGAAAATAAAACGCACAATGCGAAGATCGTATAAATCAAGGAGGTTCAAAAAGGAGGAAAATATGCGTACTCCTTCAGCAACTCACTTTCTTTAGCAACCCTAAAGTAGCTGGTGAACTTGCGCTGTCATGCCATATATCTGCGGGGAAAAGACCACCTAGCAGCGATCTCTTCGCCGCAAAACCGACAGCTCTGCCACTAGCAAGTCTCGTGGCTTGTTGGCACGCATGTGAGCCACTTTCGCGGTCGTATTCGCTGAAAGTCATTTCAGGCTCACAATTTTTTTTTCTGAACAGCACACTTTTACAACTCTAAGCCAGTGATCTGTAATGGGTAAGGCTAAATGGTGCGAAACAAAACGTTTTGTGTCTTGACTAATGTCACTTAGACGATAGTTATGAAAGTGACTTCACGATCGTTTGACTCGCCAGTGCTGCTCGCACAGGCCACTAACTATGCTTCAAGCAGGAGCCGAATACTTCACCAAACAGGAAACACGCTCCGTGTAGTGACACCGCACAACGAGTAGTTGCGTAATAGAGGAGAAAAGGTCACTGAAAGCACCTTTTCGCCGTGTCATTCACAAGCTCTCAATACGACATTTGCGCTCAGCTGTGTTTGCATTTTTTTATAAAAATGCGCATTACATGTCTCATGAAAGCGGTACCGTACACCACTTCTGGCACCATGTTTGAACCGGGAGTGCTTAAATTATTCCTTTAGGAAAGCCTGTTTTGAAAACGTGTCGTAGACGTGAATTCACGATGCGTTCAGTTTCCTACTAGCTCCTATACTTTTTTTCTTGAGGTGGCTCGGAAGTTGTATTACCCCAACACGAGTAGCAACAACGTACCGCAGTGAAGGCGGGTGAACCCCGCAAGGTGAGTAGAATTGGGAAATGCACGAATTTCACTAGGCCACTTTAGTGCACTTAATGAAACGATATGCAAGCTGACATCACAAAACCGCGTTATTGGGCAAGCCGACGCAGGTGCATTTCAAGATTACGCCACAAACACGTCAAAGGCACTAGCGGCGCCACCTACAATTGCCAGTACACAACGTGAGACTGACTGCCACATTATAAAACCGCACGGCCCCAGCCGCGCGGATCCTGTGAGGGAGAGTACTAACGCGGCCGTTGAAAAAAGAGGTGAAGGAGGTAGCTTTTTAAAAATGGCGGTTCTGTACCAACCTTTCAACACGTTTCAACTGACCTTAGCAAAAGATGCAGAACTTGTAGCCAACGTCCCACGCAGAGACGCATGTTGTCGCCCTCACCACCGGCGTCCTCCAGACGGCGCAATTCGAATCTCGCGGAGGAATCATGTAGAGGAGACAACGAGCGCCGAACGAGTGTTGTAGAGCCTGCAGCCGCCACACGCTGCCGACCAAGCGGTTTCGCTCCCGCCGCGCCAGTCGAGAGAAAGAGAGCGCGCCAGCACGAAGAAAAAAGAAAACAAGCGTACAGAGCAGACCGCGGAAGAGTACACCTCACTCCACGCCGCAGACACCCCCTGCGTCCGCGACGCAAAGTAGTTCGCGGTTTTGAACAAAAATGTTCGTCTAAACCGCGAGCGTGAGCCGCGAGATAAAAAGTTGGCATGACAGGCACTGACGAACATGTCCGCATGTCTTGCCGCGATTTAACCGACAGTAACTATGTCCTTGTCCAACCTTCACGTACCACGCGAGCGCGGCTGCCGCCCGAGGCGCCTATGTGGCCTAGGCAACAAAATTTGTTATCGGCGGAGATGCCGTTGGCGGCTGCTTCGAGCCAAATCTCTCGTCGTCACCATGGCTAATTTCTGGATACTTTTAGGTTTCGCTTTCACGCAATGAGTAGCCATTGTTTTCAAATTGTTTAAAGGTAAAGCAGGCTATTTCCACCAAGCTCTTCTTTTGTAAAAGCCTATACTGTCTCTCCTAAGCCTATGTTCCCTCCCCGCACTATCTGGCTGGTGCGCATTGAGGCACTCCACCGCAACGCATGGCGACCCTGGAAACACGAAGGGGCGTAGTTAATGAACGTTGGAAAACGCGTAACTATCTCACTGCCAACAATCTATGCTGATTGTGCACGCTAGTTTTTAAACAGGATCGATAGCGCGTTTTCTCGTCCGAACTTGACAAGAACAGGCATTCGCTACAAAATTATGCCGGACTGTCATCTCGACCAGATTTGACTAGCTAAAGCTCGACCGAAAATATATGAGCTCTAGTAATCAAATTCGATATGCGGCTTCAAGTAGGAACTGCTTCAAAATGCAATGTTCTATTTGTGGGGTGCAGTGTTTCAAGCTTACTCCGCCCCGCCGCGGTGGTCTAGTGGCTATATAAGCTACTCGGCTGCTGACCCGTAGGTCGCGGGTTCGTATCCCGGCTGCGGCGGCTGCATTTCTGATGGAGGCGAAAATGATGCAGGCCCGCATGCTCAGATTTGGGTGCGCGTTAAAGAATCCCAGGTGGTCTAAATCCTCGGAGCCTTTCACTACAGCGTCCCTCATAATCGTATGGCAGATTTAGGACGTTGAACCCCACATATCAATCAATCAAGGCAAAAGATGAAAACCGCCTCGCTTCAAAGCGACCCGACAGTACAAGTGCCGGTGGGAAGGTAATCTGCATAACGTGAAATCCCGAGCTCCCAAAAACAGTGCAGCCCTGCAAGTTGGACATTATTCGCTTTTTTTCTACGATCGGCAATCAATCCGGTCTGGAATTGCGTGTGCAAATCATTCAGCAAGCACTGCGCGTAATGCTTTATGCCATTCCATTTACACTGTAGCTTACAGTTTCGGAATTATCTCAGCACATGCGCCCAAAGAAAGGATGCTCCATGCAGACGCTGAACAACCAAGCAAAGAGAGGTAAGGGAGCTTGAATTACCCTCGTGCTCAAGCTACGCAATAACGTGTTCATTGAACACCGGGTGAACGATAATCCTTCGTTGACATTCGCCGAATAAGTTGTTCCGATCCCTAGACAGAATGACAGCGGACGCACGGCGCGCATGCTGCCGTGTTTCCTCCTAATGAATTGCTCAGTAATAGTTTCAGCGAATATTTGCTTAGAAAAAATGGCCGTTATCAGGCAAGGCGTAGTTGACGCGTCATTCGCTCGGTGCATTTTCATCGCCAGGTGAATCAAAAGGCTCCGTCTTTATTATATCATGAGCGTGTATGATGGTATATGATGAGCGTAAGAAACTGCAGTCGCTTCAACTTGCACGTCGGCGGGCCACCAAGCACGACATACCATGAGTAGGCATCAAGGAAGAAGAGAGTGGTTACAAAACCCAGACATGAGACTTGAACTAATATGGCATCTCAACACAGAAAACATATGTCCCATGCACTGTGTGAATCGATATAATGCGCGAGGCAATTGGCGAAAAGCTACATTCACCGCATTGTCGAACTTTGAGACAAGCCAGGGCATTCATGTGATGACATGTTCACTATCACATGTTCACTATCGCTTCGACGCGGCTACATTCCGTATATAGGCAACGTATATAACGTTTATTCTGGTGCATACAATACATGACCTCTCGTTCATATTTGTCATAATTACGCCATATCAATGTTCACATTTATCAATCTAACGTCACGGCTGCGATCACACCAAGACCGTGGCATGTAAGGCACTGCGTACATAATATGGATGGCTTCATGCTAAATGTCATTTGTGTTAGTCGTACACTCACGTCATGCGCCATACCAATTTCGGTATATATCGAGTTGATGAAACAGCCTCGAGAGAACACAAAGACCATATGATGATGTGGCCATATGACCATATGATGAATGTCATGATTTTCTCATGTTACAACGCGACATTTGTGTTCCCCAGACAGACAGACAGACAGACAGACAGACAGACAGACAGACAGACAGACAGACAGATAGATAGATAGATAGATAGATAGATAGATAGATAGATAGATAGATAGATAGATAGATAGATAGATAGATAGATAGATAGATAGATAGATAGATAGATAGATAGATAGATAGATAGATAGATAGATAGATAGATAGATAGATAGCGGCTCAGGGTAAGTCTTTCATGCCGCCGTGGCTGCGCTTAAGTTCACCGGGTGTTCGCGCCTAGAGTGCCGAGTAGCATGTGTGGACTCTAATGCAACACGTTGGCAGCCTTGTAGACTTCTCGTCGTCAACCGTTATTTACTTTTTTGTTTTGCCACCAACCTTTTTCGTTTCCAGCCAACTCAAGAATATCCAGGCTTCGCAGTGTCGCATATCGCTTAAAAAACGTCGCACAGCACTTGTCGACGATGACATTCTGCACATGTGCGACATTCACGTGGCCCCAGCCCGCCAAACATGACCGTACGATTTTACAAACATCGGTTACCTTTCACGTAAAACCCACTTTCGAAGGTCGCAGGTTCGGTTCCTGCCGATGGCAAGTTATCGTTTCATGCACTTTGCTTTCTTGACATTTACATTACGTCTACCTCATCCCCTATACATTCCTCGATAAAATTTTCCAGTAATTTTGGCGAGGAGGAGGAATGAAAGAAATGAAAAGCAGGAAAGTCGACCAGACGCACTTCCGGTTTGTTACCCTGCACTGGGCAAAGGGGTGAGAGGATTAAAAGAGAGAAGTGATGGGCAACGTGTGGGTACATGCGACTTTGTCCATTGCACGCTTATAGCAGTCGCGTAGTCCAGTCGTCTTCAGAAAACCTAGCAATGCCCACGTCACTTTGCTGGCCTGCGACGCGTAGAGACATGAACCGAGGACCTTCTCTTCACAAAAAGGTCTACTACATAAGTGTCTCTAACGTATCGCTTAGCAAGTTGCGTTCGCTCGCAAAACGATCAGTACACCGTAGTTCATGCTGGCCAGAGGTGTGGCTCTCTGATACATTTTCGGGTGCGTCAGTACACATTGAATACAATCTTTTTTTTTTATCCTTCTACATAGTACCTTCTTTTTATCATACTTCTACACAGTGTGCACGCGACATCTCTCCAAGACGTCCTTTTTTTGTGTGGTAGCTTTCATCGGATGAAAAACAAGATCTCGAACAGCTTCCATAGTTCTCTCGAGCGGCTGCTCTGACCTCAACATCACTGTGTTTGAGAAGTGTGGAAGTACACCAACTGGCCCGCCAAGAAGTCTTGGTTCGCCTCTTCACTCGACGATAGTTATAGCGTGAGAACAGAACGACGACACAAAGACAAGAACGACACGACACTATCTTCACTCGAGCTTCATAGAAACGGAAGTGACGCGAAACCTGTCTCCGGTCGGCACACCGCCGAAACAACTCGGACGACTCGCGCTCGAAAGAGGAAACTGACAAAAGGCTTCTTCGGGTTCTCTCTCCCTCAGCCTCCACCGGTTCTGTGACCCTGCGGGAACCGTTCTTGCGGGGCACCGTCCGTGCCGCTGCTACAGTGTACTAGCCCCCGTCCGCTGTCACATGATCATAGAGGAAAGAAAGAGCGGGAACTTTTAAAAGGCTCCTCAATATTCCGGTGACAATGATGAACGAACACGTCTCTTATTAAGGTTAATAAAAAAAGAAATAGCCCAGAGAAGGGGAGGGTGTTCCTTAGGTTTATTTTATGTACCTTCCCACATTCAAAGGCGGAAACAGTGGCCCACGGCATTATTTTTCTTAACACAAAAGCAGGTTGATTGTTATAGGCGTAACATGGGAGAAAGCCTGCAGTGAGGTAGTCAGGCTGATCATAATGACGTCATGAGTAACAGATTGCGATAGCGAAGGCGGCGTTGTAGGCGAAGAACCCGGCGCCGACGAGTGTACGAAAACGCGTCAAAATGGTTGATTCTGCTGAGGGACAGGGGTTCCTGTCTTCGTCTGCGTATCACGCTTGCATTTCAAACCATCATGACAAAAATGCGACCTTTACATGCGCCGTTTTCCAATAACCGATGTTCTCTGGATCGGAGGCTTGACGGCGACCAACCGCTCCTGATAAGGAAATATGATCCTTTTTGATGTCATTGAGATGGCTTGTCATTTCGCGCTGCCACACTTCATTGTTGCCTTGGATATGAACGCATGACCGTCATTGTTGCCGGTATCAACTGAAGTGTGGCGCTAGTAAGCACGTGGATGGAGGCCCACTTCCCGGCAGGTGAAAATTCGGAGGGAGCATGGCGCGATGCTGGGTAGCTTGCACGTGACGTCATGTTCGCAGTTCGGGAACATACTGGGACTCCACGACGGTGGTTTCGACGGCGCACAAGTCGCGCCGGTGTGACAACGACGCGGCAGGAGCGCATATGAGCGTGACTAACGAAAGAGCCTGCTTGTGATGTGTTCACAGCATAAAAGTGACATCGCAGATGTCGCGTCCCCACATGCTGGTGCTCCAACATGGCCGTTTCAGTGACGTCACTGCAAGAAGTAG